TATATATATATATATATTGGAAGGATAAGATAGTATTTTTGTTTTACAAAAACGTAAGATCACTCTTTTACCATCATAAATCCAACATGGTATACATATGATTATAAATAAGAGAAGCAAACAACCTTTGGCGACCAAATTGCTCGTACACCATCATATTCCCTCATGTGTATTATCATATGTGATAATTGTGTTTTTGCGTTTTTGAAAAATGAAGGTGTTCTCTAAACCCCCCCACACACACACACACACATATATATATATATATATATATATATATATATGTGGACATGTATTGATATTTAAATAAGAAAAACAAAAAGGTTGAGAATATTGGAATAAATGAATCACATGTGAATCATTGGTGAAAGGAAATGTGGGTTCACATAACTTCATATGTGAATAATTGGTAAAAATATGAAATTATGTGAACAATTATTTTTTATATTTAGAGAAGAACAAAGTCTTTGTTTTCTAGAGTAAAATACGTTTTTTATCCCTGCGGTTTGTTAAAAATTGCAGTTTTCATATACGTGGTTTAGAAATAACAGTTTTTATTTTTATGGTTCGTAATTTATTATAATTTACAATATATTATTGTCATGAACAAAAATAGCAACAATTTGCAACCATATGAACAAAAACTGCAATTTATAAACCTTTTTTTTATTAACCTAGATATCCAACCCGCTATGCGAGCTGACTAATCCCAGAGCGACCACCTGCTTTGCAGATAGCCCGGAGTCCCCGCATTTGAACTTTCGTGGTCACAAGGGAATTTTTATTCCTCCTTGGATTTAAACCTTTGAGACCAAGACGGAAATTATTGATAAATGTCAAGGACAACAATTGTAATTTACTCTTTTTTTTATTTTAAAAAAGTTGTCGAAGATGCTTCAAGGGGACGTTTGTTTGGTTTTTGAATAAATCTGGTATGGATAAAACTATTTGTGTGGATTAATTTGTCTGTATAAAATGAAAAGACTTTTGTTTGGGAGGATTTTCTCATTGATAGAATGAGCGTGTTCTTTAAATGGGAGAAACACGTTTAGAAAAAAAAAATTGGTTTTCTGCATAAAACTATCTCTAGAAGCTTACTGAATAAGTTATTTTCTATATGATTAAACCTACTAAACAGTCATATATAATTTATCGAATAAGCTGAGTCTCATTAAATATATTAACTGTTAACAAACAAACTCTTATCACATTCGTAGAAATCCCTATTAATACTTTTTGAAGACAATAAATTAATATTAGTAATTGGGCAAATTGCATGAAAAAATAACGTACTTTAACTTGATTCTTATTTCGGGTAACGTACTTCCAAAACTTCCATTTTAGTATACAAGATGTAAAGGTTTAAACATTTAAGTATCATGGTACTTGGTTGAAGCATTAACCGGTTACCATACTGATGTGGCGAGTGACGTGGTATCCAACTCAGTATTATTTGTTGTTCAACTCAATTTCATCTCATCACTTACCACATCAGTATGGTAACCGGTTAACGTTTCAATCAGTTACCCGAGTATTTAAATGTTTAAAACTTTACATTTTAAGTACCAAAATATAAGTTTTGAAAGTAGGTTACCATTTCATACAATTTACACTTAGTAATTAAAAAAAAAGATTATTATTAAATATTTATTGTTTGATATTATGATTAATTAATTAATTAATTAATTTAACATCGATGATATTTTGGACCGTTAAAATAGATTCAAAAGAGGGAATGAAGTAGTACAAGTAAGAATTTGGGAGCCACGTGTAAAGTGTTTCTTCCGGTAAGAAGTAAAGAAGAAACAGTTAAGGATCTGGCAGCTATATTCCTCCAAAATTCATCAAAATCAATCGCTTATATTCACCACCACCACCACCTCCATTTTCTTCCATTCTTCATCTCAACTCAACCCTTTTCAACGATCGATCCACCGATCGTTTGTTTGTTTGCAATCTGTAATCAAAACCCTCCAATTTTCTAGGGTTTTTTTTGTCCAGTAGCTTTAATTCCGTCAGCCGTCACATCAATCCATGAACAATCGTTGTTGCCACCTTCCGATCTGATCACTCATCACTTTAATCCCCACATTAATCGACGTTTTTTCGTTTCTAAAATTCTAGATCTTTCGTCGTTTTGTGATGGGGAAAGTAGCTATGGGAGTGGCGGTGATTGGTGCTGCTACAATTTGTGCTCTGATTGTGCGCCACCGTATGCGGAGTTCCGGCCGGTGGTCGAAAGTGGCTGAGATGATTAAAGAGCTGGAAGATAAGTGTGATACACCTAACGCTAAGTTGAAGCAGATTGCCGACGCCATGGCTGTTGAGATGCATGCTGGATTGGCGTCTGAAGGTGGTAGCAAACTCAAGATGCTTATCAGCTATGTCGATAATCTTCCCACTGGGTAATTATGCTTATCACTTTTAGAGTAATCAAACAGTTAATTTTTTCTTTGTGGGATTCTTGAAATACGCCTAAATTTAGCACCAAATCCTGAATTCATTGTGAATACCAGTGAATAGTGTGAAATTGAGCACTAAATCGGGAATTCATTTGTGAATACCAACAGTAAACAGTATGAAATTTTGCACCAAATCGGGAATTCATTCTGAATACCAATAGTAAACAGTGTGAAATTTAGCGCCAAATCGGGAATTCACTGTAAATACCAGTGAAAAGTGTGAAATTTAGCACTAAATCGGGAATTCGTTTATGAATACCGACATCAAACAGTGTGAAATTTAGCACCAAATCGGGAATTCATTGTGAATACCAACTGTAAACAGTGTGAAATTTAACACCAAATCGGGAATTCATTGTGAATACCAATTGTAAACAGTGTGAAATTTAACACCAAATCAGGAATTCATTGTGAATACCAACAGCAACCAGTGTGAAATTTAGCATCAGATCGGGAATTCATTGTGAATACTAGCAAATAGTGTGAAATAGGTTTCTTTCTTTTGGTGGATCGGAGATCTTATTATACTGGTTTGGTTTAAGCCCTTTTGCTATTTTTGATCTTATTGGATTTCTTCATTCATCCATCTTCTTTGTCTGATCATTTCTTGAACAGATGTCTTAGATTCAATCTGGTCATGGTGTTCTGGAGATGTTTTCTTAGATTTTAACACTTGTTTCAGACCCTTTTTGTTTCGATTTAATGGTAAGCTTATTAGATGAGGCTAGATCGTCAGAGAAATGGTTTATCTTTAAAGAACCCAGATCAGTTGGCAAAGGGGGGGAGCGACTTTGCTCAAATGCACAACAGGTTCAAGTTTGAATCTTGTGGGAGACGGGTTTGAACCCCTCCGTTAGCCTTCGACCGTTGAGTCAACTCTGAAATACCTCCTCACACATGGTTCCTAGGAGGTGGGAACCAAGTTCCGATCAAATTTAATATCCCGCTTTGTAAAGTTTGCTTTTCGGAATTGTTTGTGAGATAATCCCGTTAAAGATCAATGATTTCCGTTAACTTGCTGCAGTGATGAGGAAGGAGTGTATTATGCATTGGATCTTGGAGGAACAAACTTCCGGGTGTTGCGGGTTCAATTGGCGGGGAAATCCGGTATCAAATCGCAAGAGTTTGCCGAAGTGTCAATTCCTCCACAATTGATGGTTGGAACTTCACAAGTAAGCTGTTAAGCTGATAAACTAGTTGATAAACTGACGGGTCCCATATCTGCTAGACTTTCATCATATCTGATCCATATATGTTGGAACTTCCCTTATGTCTTGAAGGGATCTTTTGGAGAATAATCCGATGGGGTTCCACACAGGGACGGAAATGGGGCGGGTAATGGATCCCCGACCCGGAACCCCGTTTAAGCCCCCATCCTTGACCCCCCCCCCAACTAATCCCCGACGGGTTTCAAGGAACCCGTTGGGTACTCGTTTAGTAAAAAACAATGTATTTAAAATTAAAATTTTAAAAAATTCTTCACTAGATTAATTACCAATATTGAAAATTTAACCGGGGTCAAATTATGGGAGAAAATTGCCATCCCTGATCATGCTTTGGGTTTGAAAACAAATCCCGGCCCCCGCCCCATTACCTGCCAAAGCGGGGAATCCCCGCCCCTACGGGTAAAATTTCCATCTCTAGTTCGACATCCCGGGTTTGAAATATTATTGTTTTGCAGGCACTTTTTGACTACATTGCAGCAGAACTTGCAAAATTTGTTGCGGGTGAAAGTGATAAGTTTCATCTTCTTCCAGGACGACAGAGGGAGTTAGGTTTCACCTTTTCATTCCCCGTGATGCAATTGTCGGTTGCTTCTGGGGAGCTCATGCGGTGGACTAAAGGATTCTCCATTGATGATATGGTAATTACGTTAGCTTTACTATTCAGTGCTAATTCGCTCTAGTCTTTACTTTAGAATATGTTCCGAATGAGTTGATAAGCTAGCTATTGGTTGATAAACTAGTGATGTTGGTCAATAAGCTACCTGTTAACTGATAAACTAGTCATGTATGGTCAAAAACTAGTGAATAAGCTAGATAATATTGTAAAATGACCTAAAAAGACACGTTAAAAACATATTTGGAAAAATATAAGGGGAAAAACGCACACACACATATATATATGGTCAGGTTTAGGGAAAAACGCTAAATAAATGGAAAACCACGAAAAAATGGATGAAAAAGTATATGAATATGAATGTCAAATTAACGAAAAAAAATAAAGTTGTAACAGTCTATTTAATCTCATTCACCGGATCGATTAATCTAATGGTTGATGGAGTGTTTTTCGGTTTTTCATTTTCTTGAGGTTTTCCCCTGAACCTCCCAATATATATATGGTCAGATTTAGGGGAAAACCGCAAAAAGATGAAAAACCGAGGAACACCCTAGTAACCCTTCATCTGCATAGCATGCACATGTGCATACAAGTTATTTGTAAGTAGTTTGTCCGGTGTGCACACGTGCATAAAAACCAAGAAACAACTTCAATTACTTGTATGTACATGTGGATATCATAAAGATGAATGGTTACCTGAGTGTTCCTTAGTTTTTCATTTTATGGGTGGTTTTCCCCGGCCGCATTCACCAAGTCCCCACATCCTTTTTGGATGTGTTATATCATATATGATTACGTATTTGTATCGGATGTACGTTATGTAATCATGTGTGATCTTGGTACTTCTCGCTTGATCCTATATACATACACATACACACAACCATATGAGGGTATAAGAGTAACAGTGAAGTCAATGAGGGCATTCTTTTGATTGCTGATATATATAGGTTGGTCAAGATGTGGTTGCAGAACTAACACAAGCAATGAAGCGGCAAGGTGTCGATATGCGTGTTTCAGCTCTGGTAAGTTCAATTACGTTCATCGATACTGTTACATCAGCTAAACTTGAACCATATTTCCTCAATATATGTTGGAACCCTCCTTTCCTTATGGGCTCGTTTGGAGAGTAATCTGTTGGGGTTCCACATAGCAAATACTCTTTCTTATATATGGTGGAGTTGGGTCGTTAACAATGTGCAATGTCGGATGTAGGTCAATGATACGGTTGGAACATTAGCCGGAGGTAGATACGACAACAAAGATGTTGCTATAGCGGTAATCTTGGGTACCGGATCAAATGCAGCTTATGTGGAACGAGCGCAGGCTATACCAAAATGGCACGGTCCACCCCCTAAATCCGGAGAGATGGTGAGCACCGATTAGCCCCGTATTTCCGTTTAGACCATTCTTGTTCTCATATCAAAATACCCAAAATGGCACGATCCTACCAAAGGGTCATCGGCCCGGTCTCCCACAGGTCAAAGATTCAAACCTCACTAAACATAAAGCAGTGTGCATCAGTATTTGTATATAAATATTATAGGGTCAGGTTTAGAGGAAAATCGTAAAAAAACAAAAAAAACTGAGGAACACACTAGTAATCATTCATCTGTATGGTATACACATGTGCATACAAGTAATTTGTCCGGTATGCACATGGAAAACAAGAAACAACTTCAATTAATTGTATGCATAAGTGTATACCGTACAAATGAACGGTTACAGGGGTGTTCCTCGATTTTTCATTTTTTTGGGGTTTCCCCCGAACCTCCCTCAAATATTATAAACCGCAAAAAAGTACCCATTTAAAGCGATTTTAGATATAGTGTATATCGATGGCTAATACTTGATTTGCTTTATAGGTTATCAATATGGAATGGGGTAACTTTAGATCATCACATCTTCCCTTAACGGAGTATGATAACACATTGGATGCCGAAAGTTTGAACCCGGGCGACCAGGTGATTGTCTTTTTATTTTCTACTTTTTGGGTTACTTCAGTTTACGCGCACCGACTAAATCCGTAGGCGACAACGAATGGGCTGGAGTGATCGTAGATGAACCTCCATGGAAGATGAGATTTTCGTTACATCATTCCCCCTTGAGGCTTAACGGTATATGGTTGTTTTTAACGCGTAATATTGGCAGATATTTGAAAAAATGATTTCCGGTATGTATCTCGGAGAAGTTCTTCGTAGAGTTTTGTATCGGATGGCGGATGAGGCTGCCCTTTTCGGTGACACGGTTCCTCCCAAACTAAAAACTCCATACATTTTGAGGTATTATTTGCAGTTTTGGTATTTCTGAGAACAAAATATCCATGAATGAGTATTCATGTTTCATGATGAATATATATATATATATACAGGGTTGGGTTCACGTGAGACCAGCCTGTTTTTGTGAGACCCGTGAGACCATTTCTTTACACTTGAAACTTCACAGCAAAACGCGGTGAAGGTAAAAAAAAAAGCCAAACCTTCACAGTCACAGCGTTTTGCTGTGAAGTTTCAACTGTAAAAAAGTGGTTTTACGGGTTTCATGAAAACAAGTTGGTCTCACGTTAAGATCATAAAATGATCGTTTTTTTGGTGTAATTTGTTTTGCTACAATTTTTTTTTGTATTGCGCTGATTTTCGATTTAAAGATTAAGGGAAATATTTGTAATTTTTTTAAAAAGATGGTTATAACCATCTTTTTAATCACATTCGTTGGATCATCTCAATCCAACGGATGGATTCTTCGGCTTCCCAATCTCATCCCTATATATATTCATCATGAATATTTGTTTATTTGGTTCTCAAAATATTTACGGTTTCTAAATGGACTTTTCCTTCTATGTTGAATCCCGTAAATTCATGTGATATCTACATTACGTTCGTGTGCACTTCTTCTCTCAGGACGCCCGAGATGTCAGCAATGCATCATGACACATCCATGGATCTCAAAGTGGTGGGGAACAAATTGAAAGACATTTTAGAGGTACATGATTTTTCACTACAACAAAATTGGCTTTATAAGACGACAGATATGTCTAAATGCTCTAACAGACTGCTTTATGGAAATTAAGTTTACAAGACCAAATAACTGTACATCTATGTAAAGGTGTTACGGTAGGATGTTAGAACGTATTTGGACATCCTAACAAGTTTTTTAGGGAACTTTTGAAATAAAGTGTCATAAATTTTTGATTAGACATTTTTGAGAAACGTACTGTGAACACATTTTTTAAAGGACACTTATTTTTTATAAGACATTTTTAGAAATAATATCGTATAAATAGACTAATAGGACGTTTTATCTCAAAGATGTCCTAAAAACTTGTTAGGACGTCCAAAACGTCATATCGACTGTTTGGTCCTATAAACTTAAGTCTTATTAGGACACTTAGGGCTTGTTTGCTAGCAGCTTAATAAGTTTGATGTGACAACTTATTCGGTCAACTATACGTGACTGTTTGTTACTAGCTTAATAATATAGAAAGTGGCTTTTTCAGTAAGCTTTTAGGAGGGAGCTTTATGTATTTTTCCAAACCTGCCCCTCCCAATAAAAGAACACACTCCTTCCATCTAAAAAAATCCATTTCCAAACAAAAACCTTCCCAATCTATACAGACAAATTAATCTACACATATAGGACTTGATGAAAAACCAACCAAACACTGATTTTACACAAGTCTTTACTGAGATGAGCATTTTGGTTGCAGATATCTAATACATCCCTTAAGACGAGAAAGGTTGTAGTCGAGCTCTGCAATATAATTGCGACACGTGGAGCCCGTCTTGCGGCAGCCGGGGTTTTGGGCATTTTGAAAAAATTAGGGAGAGATATCGAGGAGATGCCAGAAACGGTAATAGCGATGGACGGAGGATTGTACGAGCACTATACCGAATATAGTAAGTGTATGGGGAACACGTTACATGAGCTCGTAGGAGATGAAGTATCGAAACGTATTAAGCTTATACACTCGAACGATGGGTCGGGAATCGGGGCCGCTCTTCTGGCTGCATCACATTCTCAATATTTGGAGGTCAATGGGTCTTAAAAGAAAGAAAGCACTTAGATTCACATATAAATTGTTAAAGATGTTATGTGTTATTATTATCTTTAGAGAGTCTTGGGGTTTAGAAGAGACTCTTTTGTAGCAAATTCTTGAATTATGGTGTTGTGGAATGTATACCAAATGAAGGGGATTTGTAATGTGGGAACTCCTTTCCTATACATTCACATGTGAATGTTTCTAGAACCCCTTTATATCATTTTATAAAAGAGCCTTCATAGATATAAGATATGTCCCCTCCCCCCTCTCTCTCTCTATATATATATTATATACATATATATTATATATATATATATATATATTATATACATATTATATATATATATATATATATATATTCTAACACACACATTAACTCTAAAATTTGTGCTCTCTAAGAATTTATACCTTAAGATTTTGTTTTACATTATTTTTTTCTATCTTAATGTAATATTTAATGTATTTGTTTCACAATATGTTCTTTTATATGTATTCGGTTCACAATGTGATACTTTGTTATGTGTATTTTTTTTGTTTCATAAACAAGTCAAAGAGGTTCACACTCTGAACCGAGTACATGTGAAACAAGTATATATTAATCACTATATTAAATTTTAGACATAGATGAAAAAAAATAGTCATATAAAATAGCACATGGATACACTGGTTCTCAGAGATCTCATATATAGAGAGACTTGGAATCATGTGAGACCAACTTGTTTTTGTGAGACGTGAGACCATTATTTTACATTTGAAACTTCATAGCAAAACGCTGTGAAGGTTCGGCTTCTTTTTTCAGTGTCCATTTGGAACAGGACACACGGTGATAAGTGAAAGTATTTGGTTTCGATGATCGTAGTCGAACGATTATGATTTCAAATCTGTATAAGAAATTCATTCGAGCAATCATTGTTTTCAGGATTCACTGAACAATTCGATCCGTCCATCTTGTGTTGAAAAAAAAAACAGAGCAATCTGTTGTTATAATACGAAAAACCTTCAAACTTTACCGTTAAAGTCGTCCCTTTTTGTTATTCTTGTTTTGCCATCCCTAGCCCCCACCGTCCACATTGGCCAACACTCCCACGATCCATCGGCTGCCCACTTAAAAGGAAATTCCGTCGTAAACTCCATGATGCGTGGCTCATTTCACAAGGAAATTTGCGTAGGGATTTTAAGATAGAAAAGTGTTATCTTTTTCTATTTCCCGTCGATATTCCCATGTGGGGTTTGATTTTCATGACATGGGTCAGGATTACTTTCTGGAAAGATTTCAATATATTGGGGAGAGGAGTGAAAAGGGTTTATGTTTGCAGTGGTAGTGTTGGATCTCCATTTTTGTACTTTTTTGGGTCGATAAATTGAAGCATTCGAGGTGTTTGTGAAAATGTCTCTGTGAAAAAATCTACTTTATTTCCTCCAAGTGAAATGCAGCTAAGGCTAGTGACTATGGAGGAAGGGAAAGAACCCACTATCAACTCGATCAGAATCACAAATCAATCTAGGGGTTCTCCTATGAGATTACTAGGATTCATGTTGCTGTTTATAGGCATTGGTGTCAGCTTTTCGATCATAAATATGTTTAAGATCCGATATTTAGGCATCCAGAATATTGTTCCAGGAGCACACACCTTGATACAGTCTTGTTTTCATGAACCCAGAAGTTTACAGGATTGGATTAAGCCTCCATTAACTTATATGCACACATTGGATGATAGTGAGTTGTTATGGAGAGCTTCATATGTTCCTCAAATTAAAGAATACCCTTTTAAGAGATCTCCTAAGATTGCATTCATGTTCTTGACAAGAGGACCTTTGCCATTGTCACCACTCTGGGAGAGATTTTTCAAAGGAAATGAGGAATTTTATACCATTTATGTTCATACCACGCCTTCATATCGTGCAAACTTTTCTACCTCTTCCGTCTTCTATCGAAAGCAAATTCCTAGCCAGGTTAACCATTGTTACCTTCCTTCTCTCATTAGTCCTTTTTTCTTTCTTTTTTAGGCATATTCTTGCTCCTCTGTGGGTTTGAATAGATCTACTTGATACCAGCTTGAATCTAATGGAATCATTAGAAAGGAGACAGATAACTGATAATAATATAATGGAAGTTGCCTATGTTCTTATTTAGAGGTTCTTTGTTTACTTCTATCACAAGTTCATATTGTTGATTTTGCTTTCATGTGTTGATAATCTATTATGAGATCATGGATGCTACATTGAAGCAAGTTCTCTCATTTAGAATGAAAACTTCGAATGGTTTAGTTCCGTATAGCTTAGTTATTTTAATGTGTGCTTATTTTTGTATTAGCTTGTGTTTATCTTGGCTTCTTGTACTATGGTATGAAAGTTGTTCCAATCATTTTTCTTTAGATTGTAGGGATAGTGCACTCCACCTTGGAATTTGGGGACTGTCCCATCTCTTGAGTGGATATGCGTTGTGGGTGCTAATTACTACGTTGCTAAATGTAATTTTCTTTTGTTTATTGATAAAATTTGTCAGAGGTACTGTTTAAAAAAATATTTTAATCTCTCGTCACTTGTGAACTTTAGGAATCTATGCACATTGCTAGCAAGCAATTGATATTGTTGGTTTGGTCCTTTTTTTTTTTTGTCACATATCACATATGTGGACCATGTACTTGTTTGTTCAATATTTAAGTGTGTTGGTATGCACCTGAATAGTTATGACTGGACGGACGAGAGGGAGGTATGTGGATGAATGAGTCTGGAAGTTTTAAGGTTTTAATTTGTCGTGGTTGTCCTATTTTCCTGATTTTTGTTCAACCTATGTTTTTTTTTTGGAAGGGTAGCCTGGACTACTCCCGGCAAATTGTGGCCACAAGAAATCAGTCTTGATAATCTCAATGGCCACAATTGTTGTATACACCTGGAACTGAACCCTAGACGAATGGGATGTTCCACATCCCCCAAGACCTCAACCGCTACGCCACGAACTTTGTGGTTTTGTTCCACCTAGGTTGATAGGGACAAGGAAAAAAAAAAGCATCTTTACCCCACTCTCAGGTATGTTTCATTTTTCCACATAGTATCTCTTTATAAAAACACTTGTACTTGCCTCTATGTAGGTAGTGGAATGGGGAATGATGAGCATGTGTGATGCCGAAAGAAGACTTATAGCCAACGCATTGCTAGATATCTCAAACGAGTGGTTTGTACTCTTATCAGAAGCCTGCATACCTCTTCAGAACTTCAGAACTGTCTATCGTTACATATCAAGATCCAAGTTCAGCTTCATGGGTGCGTTTGATGAACCTGGCCCCTATGGTAGAGGTCGATATGATGATAAAATGTTACCAGAGGTCCATATCGACCAATGGCGAAAAGGGTCTCAGTGGTTTGAAGCTAATAGGAAACTAGCAGTCGATATCATAAAAGACAACACGTATTATCACAAATTCGAACGTTTCTGCAAACCAGATTGTTATGTTGATGAGCATTATTTCCCAACAATGCTCACCATTCAGTCTCCACATTTGTTGGCCAATAGGACACTTACGTATGTAGATTGGTCAAGAGGAGGTGCTCATCCAGCTACATTTGGAAAAGATGATATCACAAAGGAATTTATCAAGAAAATTCAGCAAGGTCATACATGTGTTTACAATAATCAGCCAACTACAGCATGCCACCTTTTTGCAAGAAAGTTTGCTCCTAATGCATTGGATCCACTTCTACAGAACTCTACAGAATTTTTTGGCTACTGATTTAAGGTCATTTCTTTTATCTTTATTTTAAAAAGTAGATAATAAATATTGTATTCTCAAATTTAGGAAGTAAAAGAGAAAAATGGAGGAAAAAGAATGGAAAAGATTGATTTTTTTTCATTTGTGTTCTTGAAAATGAAAGAGTGGAAATTGAACAAGAAAGAAAGAAAAAGAAATATTTCATTTTTACAAATTTGCCCTTTATGTTTGTTTTTTCCACTTTTCTTTATGAGGGTTTTCTGTCATAAAAGACCACACTCCTTTCAGATTTTCTTTTCTCTCCATTTTTTCTCATATGTAATTTTTACAAATATACGCCTTATATTTGTTTTTTTCACTTCTGTTTATGAGGGTATTTATGTCATTAAAGATCATATTCCATTCAGATTTTCTTTCCCTACATTTCTTCTCACGTTTGGGAGGAAAATTTTGATAGGAAACATAAATGATATGTGGGATTATGAGGGTATTTCTGTCATAAAACCTTCAAGAAAAGGTTTAGTGAACACAGTGTAACCGGCAGCAGGGATCATTGATGCATGGGTGATCTGTACTACAAGTTTTACATGTATATACATACATATATATATATATATATATATATATATANATATATATATATATATATATATATATATATATATATAGGGTGGTATCATTTGAGAACCCGATTATTTGTGAGAACCGTGAGATCCAACCACATATATGGGTTTAGTGAGTAATCATAGTATGAATTACCATGTCTAAGTTTAATGCTTGAAACATAAAACACTGTGCCTTGGATCAATGAGTATTAACAGTATGAATTACCATATTGGACAGTTGGAGTAATGTTTAAAATAGAAAACACATTGGTTTGGATTCAGTAAGTAATCACATTGTGAATTACCATGTATGAGTTCAACATCTGTGGTTGTAAATGGATCTCACAGTTCTCACAAAATATAGAGTTCTCCCATGAGTTGAACCCCCCCCCCCCCAAATTATATATAATATATTGAAGAAAACTGTAAAAACTCGGTTCTTCATTTCTGGGAACACTTGCACCAAATTTGGCTCAATGCTATAAAGGCCAATAAAACATAGCAAATGGGAAATGACAAAGCTTTAAAGTGTGTTCAAATGGATACATGGTTTATGGCATCAATTATAGACGGATTCCATAACCATAACAGTGTATCCTTATAATTTGCAGGAGGGATATAAATTCTTCTGCAAATTATGCCAAATGAACCAACAATGGCACAAGAACCAAACTGATTGGTAGGAAAGAAGCTTTATAACCAAAAAAAAGGAAAAAAAAAAAAAAAAAACTTTACAGTTCATCATGGTGTTCTGTATCCATCTGAGTTTCTGGACTTTGAATTTGATTCAGGTAGCTAACAACCAAAGAAGCATGCATTGCAGCACCAAACGGAAGTATATCTTCATTAATTTTGAAAAACGGAGAATGGACTGAAGCGGGTTTTTGATTTGATTCATTCTTCATTCCAAGAAAGTAGAAATAACCAGGTAGTACTTCTTGGTAAACCGAAAAATCCTCTGATCCCATTAAGGGTAGCATGTTTATAACATTAGCAGGGCCAAGAACATCACCTGCAACATCTTGGAAGTGTTTGTGCAAGGCGTCGTCATTTATGGTGGCGGGGAAAAAAGGTTTGTCTTTCGAAGAGAATTCCACAGTTGCATTACATCTTTGTACTATCGCTTGCCCTACAATAACCTGTTTTGCAAATAAATTAGCTTCGTTATAATGTTATCATCAGAACCTTTTATAAGTAGGTATACATATGTAACGGAAAGTTCAAACGAGAATCATAAATATTTTGAGAAGCTTGCCATGTTTCAATGTGAGATATAGAACAAGCCCCCAAAATTTTTGGGGCCCAATTATGTGTTTTAGCATTTACTGAATTATATATGTTTTAACCTTCAGCCCAATTATATTGTTTAATGCTTTTACTCTTTTTAGCTGGTTTAGTGATTCTATTTAAGTGAATTTCATATGTTAATTTGTCATTCTAAGAGATTTTTGTTGTTTGAATTTGTGATTCTTTTGATTTAACATATGATCCTATATAACAGAGCCTCCAAGGAACAACCTAAACCTCGGAACGAACTATTTCATAAATGATTCATGACGACTAACCCTAAAATATTCATGAATATTATTCATCATGATATTCATCATGAATATTTGTCACGTTATTCATCATGAATAATTCCAGAATAGTTGGTTCTTACGTTCTCAAAATATTTACGTTTCTCATTTGAACATATCCATACATGTGTGTATTGTGTATGTATATGTCTGTGTATAAGGTTAGGTTCCGGTGAGAATGGAAGTTACAGTGAGAAAGGTAAGAAGGGATCTCCACCCTTGGGTTTGCGGTGCACCAAGATGCACCAGATCAATTCCCGTAATAAGGGCAATTCATGAGATGGGGGTGAGATTAAAAATGATCAACCATCCAAATCATTTCTTACGCTTCTCAACATAACTCCTATTCTCACACGATCCTTCGTCTATATATTAAAGATTATTACCTCCTCTATCCGTTGCTTAAGTTGCATGAAACTTTCTTTAGTAAAAGCTCGGAAGGTACCACCAATAGTGACTGAATCCGGAATAACATTGAAAGCGCCACCTCCTTGGAACTTAGCAACCGTGACTACCTACATGTGTTCATCTTTTTAGTGCTCATCGAAATCCGTTAACATTCTCTAAATCACATACAAATCTAGTTACCTGAATAATAACAAGATTTCAATTACCTGAGAATCAAGAGGATCGGCTTCTCGTGAGACAAGATGTTGTAAACTAACAACAATATTTGAAGCTGCTAATATAGGGTCTATCGAATGCTGAGGAATGGCTGCATGACCTCCTTTTCCGGTTATCACAGCTTCAAAGAAGCCACTTCCAGCCAAAAGGGTGCCTGATCTAGATGACACTTGACCTAGAGGTAACGCTGGAGATACATGTAGACCAAATATCGCTTTCACATTCTCAAGAACGCCACTTTCTACCACCCGTATAGCCCCTCCTCCCCCTTCCTCAGCCGGCTGGAAAACAAGAACTACCGTCCCCTGCAAAAACCAAGAAATATACGACCATTTTTAGGTAAGATTCAGTAACATATCCTTTAGGGGATGTTCGGTTGGTTTTCCATCAAGTCCTGTGTGTATAAATCTGTATTTATGGATCATTTTGTCTGTAAAGATTGGGAAGGTTTTTGTTCGGGAAGGTTTTTGTTTGGGACAAAAGAAATGAGCTTTTGGGAGGGGAAGGTTTGAAAAAAACTTGGCTTTCTACATAAAGCTCCCCCCCCCCCCCCCCC